CTATCACAAACACAACACGGGTTAGATTCGGACACGTTATTCAATTATTCCGGTGACCGATGAACCTCTATGAGTGATGACCTACCGCAGGACATCCGAAAGATCATTGCAGCACAGTCCGATTCTACTAATCTGCCAAAGTCGCTCATCCTGCCCGTTCTGCCAAAAATCGCAGCTTCTTCTGCCAGAAGTGGTGCCGTTGCTAAAGTGAAAGCGGAAAGCTTGTCTTCTTCTACTTCAGAGCTTTCAACACTTCCTCGTCTTACTGATGGTATTGAGAATATGGGTCTGATTACCCCCTCGCGCACTAAGCCGATTCTCGTAACTGGGAACTATGAGTTGAAACACACCATTATTCCGGACCACGCGCTCCTTGGCTCGGCCAGGTCTACCGCCCGTGACAATGGCGGCGGAAGTATTGGAGCTGACGAGTTCGCAACAAAGAACGATTTTGATAAGACTTTTGTCATCCGAAAAGAAAAGCCTATATCTGAGGATTCCATCTCGCAAGTTGATCTCAAGTTCGCCACTATTCCAAACTCTCTTCCAGGTGTGTCATCTTGCCAAGGGCATTATGTTCTATAGACTTTGATTGTTCAAGAGCCAAGAGAATATAATCTCTTCAGACTTTGAGAAGTGAGTTAGAGAGAGTCAAAAAATGTACTTTCTCCTTTCCATTGGAGCGGAGTCCAAAAAAGGAATTTTTCCCTAGAAAAATCATTTTTTATTACCTTACGTTGACATCATAACGAAAAGAGCGTCAAATGAGAATGTGTACAGTCCAACATAATCATAAACTTTTTAAAATTTTCAAGTAATTAGTAATTAAGCCCAAGCCTGTTCGCAGTCGTACATACAACTTATTGTCATTTGGTTTAGAAATAACTGGCCTTCGAAATGCTGTAGATAATCTGAGCAAAAGACGCCTGACAAATCTACTTGATGCATGCAGGTGAAACACAAATTTACTCCCTTTGACATTCATATCTGCTGAACCAATAAGTTTTTAGACTATACGATCGAGAGTTGCGTGGTTATCTCAGCGTGCCTTCGCTGACGAAATGTTTTGGAGAAGTTATAACGAGTGTTAGTTGACTTTTGTTAATTAATTGAGACAC